GCAACCTCCAACTTCTGGGCTCAAGCGAGTCTCCTGCCTCCGCCTCCCAAGTAGCTGGGACCACAGGCGCCCGCCACAATGCCCGGCTATTTTTTTTTTGTTTTTGGTTGCAGCCATTATTGTTGTTTGGCGGGTCCAGGCTGGATTTGAACCCGCCACCTTAGGTGTACGTAGTTGGCGTCTTAGCCGCTTGAGCCACAGGCGCCAAGCCAACACTGGGCTCTTTAAATTCAAAACCCTACAGCAGCAGCCACCTGACCACTGTGTTAGACTCCTTGGAGCTGTGCTAACGGGACAACTATAAAACTGTGACCCCACGTCACCCAGAACACGACAGGAGGGTTCTGACACTATCTAACAGATCACGCATAGACCTCATTAGCCCTCCCCTGACAGCACATCACCCACAAGCAGAAGGGATTCAGGACTGTCACTGACAGATAGTTTTCATTTCTGTCAGCAGGGGCACAATATGCCTTCAACTCCTAACTGTCCAGGATGGTCTGACTCATCCTCCTGCCCAGGAACGGCTGACTAGTCCTCCTGCCTCTTCCCTGATGTTTGGAGCTAAGACCAGGTGCACAGCAGCCAGGTGGCAAACAGCTCCCACCTGGCCGTATCTGGTGCTCCACCCAAACTTCCAGAGCAGGGACTCAGACTAACATCTAATCAAAGAGGCCAGGATTTACCACATTTATTCAAGTTTCAGCTGAATCTCAGTAGCCAAAATCAGAAAGCAGCAGTAATAAAGAATTCTGGGGACAGAAGATGGTGATGGTTGCATAACATCATGAATGAATGTATTTAATACTGCTCAAGTACACAATGAAAAGGGTTTAAGATGGTAAAGTTTAATCTTATACTATCCGTATATTACCACACAAAAAAAAGTAGAAAAAATTAAAGCAGTGGTCAGATGCCAGCCAACAGGCCTAGGATATTACCACTCTGCTGACAGGCAAGAATCAGTTTCCAGTGCGGACACCCTTTATCAGCTAGGACTCTGGTGCATGGTGGTGTCCACTGGGAAGTCTGCTCCCGAAGAGGCCATTTGTCTCTGTCACTAAGATGACACATTCTTTAATGTTATGATCCTTTTCATGTAACAGTTCAAAAATTTTTGACAGGTGACCATGTTAAATTTAACCACCTTATCGATGACAGGAACACATAAGGACCAAAGGTAAAATGGCTTGTCTGTAATTTCACAGCAAGGCAATGGAAAGGAAAGAAAAAAACAAATAAAATGAACAAACAAAACCTCATACATAAGTCATCGTTGGTCTTAAAGACGGGGGGTCGGCTTGGTAGTGGGAGAGCCTGCTCGCTCACTTCATCACTGCTCACCAAAGAAATAATTCTACTCCTAAAGGCAAACAAAGAAGCCCGGTGCTCAGCAGCACGGGATCTGAACCCAGGCCAGACTCTGGACCACTCATGCGGGATCTCAGCAGTGAAAATGCAGCCACACGGCCTCTAGCAAAGAGTTCTGGGGGGGCAGTAAGGAAGGTCAGTAGCATGAAGATGATACAACCACTTCACATCAGAGAACTTATTTATAAAACAAGAAAAAAAGTCAATTTCTACAACACTAAGATCACTGCCCAAAAATGAAGACATCTCTAAAAAGGAGCTTAAAAGGACCTTAAGAGAAGCAGGACAAACAATTTGCTTTAATTATCAATATACAAATGGTCCCCAACATCAGATGATTCAACTTAAGATTTCTGGATTTTAAAATGGACACATCCACAATGTAGGGTAGGAAGGACGGTTTGATTCATACATTTTTCACTTTTATGCTGACTGACCATGGCATTAAACGCATTTTTGACTTTTATTTTTGACTCACTGGGTTTATCAGGATGCAGCCCCATCGTAAGGCGAAGGGCATGTGTAAAGAGGCAGATACAGCTAGCAGTAAGACAAGCAGGCCTGTGGACTCATCTCTAATCTTGACCCTGTCCTGAGAGGTCATCTGCCTGATGACCAACAGGTCCTACCACCAAGACCCCACTCTGCAGGAATGTGAGGGGGTACAGAGGAGACCTGTTTGGCTATACTTGCTGCCTAGCATTAATTAAACAGGCTAGACCAGAAAGAGCTATGGCTTCCTCAGTTAGAAGCTCTATTGCATACAGAATGTTTTCTTCACTAATAAACTTAAAAAAAGGAAAAGATGAAACCATAGACTGTGTTGCCAGTGGATCCTGGGGATGTTAAACCCTTAGATGATTCCCAAATAAAACCATAACTGATAAACATAAATTAGACACAAATAATGAAGCCAGGAAACCAGAGACTTTCCATAATGTAAATCTCAGAATAATTAGTAATTAAAGGTTCAAATTACTGCTTCCCTTAGCGAAGTGACACTCCAGTGCCTCATTTTATACTCCAGTAAAACAGAAAATAATGCTAGCTTTTCTTTTTTTTTTTTTTCTTTTTTTTTTTCCCCGCCCCCCCCCCCCCCCCCCCCCCCCCCCCCCCCCCCCGCTAGCTTTTCTTTCATCAAAAACTTATTAATGAATTGAGTGCTTGGAAAAAAAAATCAAGACTATAAAAATGCTAAATAATGTAAGGAAACAAATTACAGACCCACATCTTAGTCAAAGAATGATTTGAAGGGGTCTTCTCATGCTCTGAGGCCCTCATCACCCGGGCCCCAGACCCAGTGGCCAGGCTGCCCCTACTCCCTTACCCACAGGTAGGCAGCTTCATCCACTGAGTGAGCAAGGCCAGTGGGGTCTCTAAGTCACCCGAGACGGAAGGAGGGGTGGAAGCTGGTGCAACTCTAGGTTTTCTGAGGAACCCCATTCAGCCTGCCTCCCTGGAAAAATGCTGACACGTCCACCATAATAAGCTTACCAGTGATTTTACTATGGTTCTTATAAGATTTAGAAAGGGAGGGGAAGTTTTATAGAGAGGCAGAAAACAAGTAGACACATCACAGACACACTACATCTTTCTTAAGCCTATGACAGTCAATTTAAACAAAGGAAGATTTACAGTTTAGATTTATAAAGTCATGGAGTGAACTCACTGTGGGCTACATAGCTTACGGAATTTTGAAATTAGCACATTGACATCTGAAAGTAAGATAACCATTAAATAATGAATCACCCAGAACATTAAGTCAAAGAGTCAGATTAATGTGGACAAAAGTATTTTTCCTTAATCTATCTGAACAAATCTACCTGCATCTCTACCTTGCCAGCTGGGAGCAACTGAGTTCCATAAACAGCAGACCCCCAGGAGCACAGATCCATCAAATCCTACTACTGAAGGAGCCCCAGAATCCTGAGGCCCAGAACCCCACTTTGTAGTCTCCATGAAGCCTGGTCCCGGGAGAGCTCCTGTTCCTAGATCATTTCATTTCATCTCGCTATTCTATTTCTCAAAAGCCTAATGAAAACAGGCCCGAGGTTTGTATCAGAGCAACAGAGAACAAGTACTGAGCACCTTCCATGCAGGGTACCCTGTGGGCATCACTGCACCCAGGGCCCACATGTACCCGCAGGCGCTGGACACACACCACACACACACTGCCGGACCCAACGTCACCCTGTGGGCATCACTGCACCCAGGGCCCACGTGAACCCGCAGGTGCTGGACACGCACCACACACACTACTGCTGGACACGCACCACGCACACGCTGCCGGACCCAATGTCACCCTGTGGGCATCACTGCACCCAGGGCCCACATGAACCCGCAGGTGCTGGACACGCACCACACACACTGCTGCTGGACACGCACCACGCACACGCTGCCGGACCCAACGTCACCCTGTGGGCATCACTGCACCCAGGGCCCACGTGAACCCGCAGGTGCTGGACACACACCACACACACTGCTGCTGGACGCGCACCACACACACGCTGCAGGACCCAACTTCACTCTCCATTTTAGCTGAGGAACTCTGCGTAAAGACTATAAGCCAAAGCCTCTGTGAGAGACAGAAGCCCTGATTTACCTTCTGCACCTCCGACACGTACTGGGCCACCATGAATGGGGAGAACACAGTGAAGTCTTCAGCGCGAGCAGCGATGTGACTGTACATCCTTTCCACTAGGCGTGCGCACTCTAGAATCACAGGCAGGTCATCTGTGCTTCCTACACACAGCAAAGCATATCCCAATGCATTAGTTCAAAAACAGTACATTCAAACTCTTCTAACTTCACAATTTTTAGGATGAAATCTAGAATTGCTATTATATTTAAAAGGGAGAGAAATTTATATAATAGACATCAAACAAAAAAATTTGGAAAATTATCTTAAAGGAAAAAATGGTTTATTGGCATCATATGATTTAAAAGGTAACCTAATTATGTCTTTGCCTTTTTTTTTTTAAAGACAGAATCTTGGGCAGCAGCTATAGTTCAGTGGGTAGGGCGCCTGCCACATATACTGAGGCTGGTGAGTTCAAACCTGGCCAGGGCCAGCTAAATTCAACAATGACAACTCCAACAACAAAAAAATACCCAGGCGTTGTGGTGGGTGCCTGTAGCCCCAGCTACTTGGGAGGCTAAGGCAAGAGAATCGCGTAAGCCCAAGAGTTTGAGGTTGCTGTGAGCTATGATGCTATAGCACTTTACTGAGGGCAACACAATGAGACTCTGGCTCAAAAAAAAAAAAAAAGTCTTACTCTGCTGCCTGGGCTAGAGTGATGTGACCTCACCATACAGCTCACAGCAACCTCAAACTCTTGGGCTGAAATGATCCTCCTGCCTCAGCCCCCCAAATTTTAGCAGAGACAGATTTCACTCTTGCCTAAGCTGGTCTTGAACTCCTGAGCTCAAGTGATCCACCATGCCTGGCCTGCCTCTGCCTTCTTAAGTTTCAAAAATCGTGTATTTGCCTTTTAGAGGCAGATAAATATAAGATGCTCTTGTCACCAGTAGATGTCCTGTCTCCCCAGGTTTACTTCTGATTCCTAGTTCTTCCTACCATACGGTGCCAAGACCATCCATGCCCTTTTGGCAAATTCCTCCAAGAATTCAAACTGCCAAATGTGTCTCCACAGCTTGCTTTAGAGCCATGGGGAAGTCGCAGCACACACCAGAGTATGTTCCCCACTTTCTTTCACACAGCATAATGGTGGGCCCACTTTTATAAGATTCTAGAAAATCAACATGAATCCACAGTGACAAATGCAGACGGCTGGGTGCCTACAACTAGAGCCAGAGTGAGGGATGGACTGAACAGTAGTAAGTAGTAAGAGAAAGCTTTGGGGATGTTGGATACACTCCATACAGAGAGCACCAAAGAATGTGTGGACATTAAGAGATCTTGACAAAACCGATCACCCCCAAAAGTATATGAACTGCAGGTAAAATGGGACAGGCACAGCATGTTCACGTAACCTGACCAGGGACGGCACCACCAACTCAGCTTCCACAGGCAGTATTTCTTATCATGTGTGCACTTTTTTTTGGCATCCTCTGTATTTTGACTATGGTGTTGGCTTCATATACACATATGTGCTGTTTACTTGAAACAGAGGCAAGTTGTTATACTGACATTGCCTATACCTAATGTCGATTTTTAGAATGCATAGTACCTTTTAAAAGAATAAGTGTCCAAAGATCGCATATGGATGCAATCTTGCCAGATCAACAGAATTTTATGAAATTATTAATACTGTTAATATTCATGGTGCATTTTAATAGGCAGTGTTCTTTGGTGAGACGCTTCAACCTCTAACACAGACTCCCCCTTCTCTCTTCAGACTGCTCGACATGTACATAATGTTTACAACACAAATACCTGGCACTTGTTATTTCTGCCACAGATTTAATGTATAGTCAATAAAAGGGAAGCATTAGATACCAATAAAAAGAGAATAATCTGGGCATGATGGCAAGAGGATTGCTTGAGCTCAGGAATTCGAGGCCAGCAGAGTGAGTCAGGGTTTGTGGTGGGTGGCTGTAGCCCCAGTTACTCAGAAGACTGAGGCAGGAGGATCATTTGAGCCCAAAAGTTTGAGGTTGCTGTGAACTATGATATTATGGCACTCTAACCCAGGTGACAGAGTTAGACTCTGTATCAATGAAAAAACAGAAATTCTCATTTTATGTGTAATTTTTTTTTGAGATATTATCTCACTCTATTGCCCCCAAGTAGAATACAATGGCACCATCTTAGCTCACAGGAACCTCAAACTCCTGGGTTCAAATAATCCTCCTGCTTCAGCCTCTTGTATAGCTGGGACTACAGGCACCTGCCACCACACTTAGCTAGTTTTTCTATTTTAATAATACGGTCTTGCTCTTGCTCAGGCTTCAAGTGATCCTCCTCCCAGAGTGCTGGGATTACACTGAGTGAGCCACTGTGCCTGGCTATAATTTTTTTAAAAGAGAACATCTCCTCAAAATGAGGAGTTCAGCAGAATCAACAAACTTCAAAGCTGAGGAATGAACTGTAACACTGGCTACTGCCATTGGCAGTTTGTTTCAATGGTAAACAAACACAACTTTGCAGAGACTAGGCTGGAAAGGCAAGTTGCAAGAACTCATTGCCTTTATGAAATGAGAGAGCTCTACACCTCCCCAACTCCTTCCAGGCTCTCACGGAACTACAAACTCCTTAAGGTCAGTGGTTCTCAACCTTCTTATTGACTCCTTTAATACAATTCCTCATGTTGTGATGACCCCCAACCATAAAATTACTTTCATTGCTACTTCATAACCATAATTTTGCTACTGTTATGAATCATAATGGAAATATCTGATATGCTGTATTAGGATGTATTTCCATTGTTACAAAGGGGTTGAGACCCACAGGTTGAGAACTGCTGCCTTAAGGGCATATATGCTCAATAAATATTTCCTAAATCTAGGTTCTTTTTGTTTTCCCAGAAAAAGAACTATTTCATTTAGGAGATGCTAGGTACAGCTATTGTTGGGAGATGATAAAATGTGACAGTTTGAAATTTTTTTAAAAATTATTTTGAGGGTGGCGCCTGTGACTCAAAGGAGTAGGGCACCAGCCCCATATATCAGAGGTGGTGGGTTCAAACCTGGCCCTGGCCAGAAACTGGAAAAAAAAAAATTATTTTGAGTATTCATTTGATGATCTGAACATTTCTCTTAAGTAAACACAACTGGTAGTTTTATTTTCACCAACATCAGGTGACAAACACATTTGAAACTGTGTCCCTAGCTGATACTGTCACTCTGAGTTACCTTTGTCTTTCTGTCGCCCTTCATGCATAACTGAAAACAGCAATCTGTTAAAAGAGTTCAAGAAAGAAGGGATGGCTTTCAGCATCACCTGTAATAACAGATAAAAGAACATAAAAGTGCGTTAAGTGACTGCTTATTTTAAGTTTTTCTAATTTAAAGGAGCTCACACTTGCTTCCTTCTGAGCCTTGTCTATGAGGACACTAAGAGCAGCTGTGTGTGCGGCCAGGCAAGGTCACTGGCATGGACACGTTGGTGTTACTGTCCACCCACATGGGGGGAGGGTCGACTTTTTAACCTTTGCTTGACCTTGAGGAATCTAAGGGGCAAACCTAGTCTAGAATTTGTTGACTCTATATGTTTTACTCTAAACTGGTACTAATCTATTCTGGAAGTAAGTATAATAAATAATAAAAGCAATAATACTAACCAATTTATTCAAGAAGAATTGGTATTTAAAAAAAAAAAGATTACATGAAGAAAATTCACTTAAAATGGGGACCAAAATTGCTTGAGTAATAGGGGTGAGAAAGTCTACACTGGGACCTTACCTTGAAAAATGAGACTACAATGGCAAGCATGCGTCTTTTACACTCAACCATCCTTAGGTCAGATCACAACTAGACACTGTCCAACAGAGCAGCCATAAGCCACATGTGACTGCTTACAATTAGATTAGTAAGAGTTCTGAAAGCTATGTTAACCAATTTGATGAAAATATTCCAAATTGTATATAAAACCAGCACACTGCACCCCATGACTGCATGAATGTACACAGCTATGATTTAATAAAAAAAATTTAAAAAAAGCACTTGTACCCTCTTAAAAAAATTAATGAGTTAATAAGCATTCAGTAAAATTAAGTACTCAGTTTCTAGTCACACTGGACATACTTCAAGTAGTTAAGACACCTGTGGCCAGTGGTCACTGGCTGCACAGTGCAGATACAGCACAGGCCCATCACTGCCAAACAGCCTACCAGACAGCACTGCGCTAATTCTTAAGATGAATAAACAGTGAAGCACGTGTTGGGATTTTTCCCTTTGGCATAATTTGTCCAACAAAATTCTTGATAATAATACTTCATCCTCCATGTCATATTATCTGTAGCATGTTCACAAATAGGAGGTTTTTGCAAAAGTATTCTAGAGTTTCAGCCAATTCCAGGACCATCCTCTCTTAATCTTTGCTGCACAGAAATCTGAGGGCAGACTATATGCATGCACACGCTCCGGCTCCTCTTCAACAAACCATCTGCTTCTTCTGTATACGTGTGCCTCAGTTTCCTCATCCACAAAATGAGGATAAGAAGTTGTTGCTGGCTCGGAGCCTATAGCTCAACCGGCTAAGGCGCCAGCCACGTACACCTAAGGTGGCGGGTTCGAATCCCCAGCCCGGACCCGCCAAACAACAATGACGG